GGAAGAGAGACACGAGCTCTCCCCTCTCTCTCCAAGTGCATGTAAGTCCTCCTGTGAGGACACAGAGAGAGGGCGAGGCAGGGAGAGAGCTGTTTCTAACCCCCAGGTGCAACTTTAAACAGAATCTCTGCTTCTCGAGCCCTCATCAATAAAGTCAGGCTGATCTGGCTTCATAAGCTTAGCAATTTACACTAGTTAGTGAGATCAATTTCTTGAAGTTAAGCTATGCAAAGCACATAGATGCCACATCTTGGCTGCCTGAGGTGCCCAGTAGGGGGCAGGTGAAGGTTGGAGAATTCTGTTCCTGTGTTGACCAGCAGAGGGCACTAGAGGAAAGGCAGCTGAGTGAGCATCCTTGGCCCTGGGAGGCTCTTTCTGATGGAAACACCTCAGATTCATTAGCCGTGTGTCCAAATGGGACAAATAGAAGGGTCCTTCCTTCCCCGAAGTCACGTTCTTGATTGTGTGAATTAAGATTGAACATGTTAAGTGTGGAGCTCCCTTTGGGTCACAGGAAAATAAATCTGGAAGCTGTCACTCACGAGCCCTGTGGAAACCTGGTCGCCCAGCCCTGCAGCCAGGGCACCAGCACATCTGTGTCTGAGCTGCCAGGGAGGGCTGGCTGAGCGGGAGCTGGGATCAGACCCTTTCGGGGTCCATGGGATGGAGGCGACTCCTCTGTTCCCAACCCCTCAGGTGGCAGGGAAGCTGAGGAAACCCGCAGGGGTGTGCTGGGACCTCCCACCACGTCCCACAGATGCTGACAGGCCTTCGGGGAGGGGCAGAGGCCATGAGCAGGGAAGGGAACACCGCCAGCCGCCAGCCGGGCAGACCCCCAGGGCTTTCCCGATGAGGGGGCAGCCTCGGCAGCCCAGCCTGTGATGGGACCACTGCCCACTGGACCACGGCGTTCGCCAGGGCCACAGAAGAACCCGGGAGGGGACTTGGCAGGGATGGGCCTCCTGCACGAGGAGGTGGGCTCCTGGAGGGGCTGATGGGCACTGAGTACATGGGACCACATTGGCATCCTGATTAATGGGGCCTGGCCTATTGGGAAGTGGTGTGTTAATGATAATAATGACTAGCATTATGTTCTCATTAAGCAGTCGCTATGTGCCCCACACTGTTCTAAGCTCGTCTCATGAATTAACTCATGAATCCTGTCAAAAGCCTGTAGGGAGAGGGGCTATTAACACCCTCAAAAGCCTGTAGGGAGAGGGGCTATTAACACCCTCGCTTGCACATAAGTAAAACGAGGCACAGAACATCTAAGTAACTTGCCCAAGGCTCGGAAGTGACTTCGGTCCAGAAACCATGATCAGCATAAGTGCAATGCGCCTCTTTTAAAGACCCGATACAAATAGTATTGCTACATGTTGTAGCGCCCAGACTCCGTGGGGCTCCATGGAGGTGCACATGAGGCTGTGGCCTTTCCTCCTCCTCCTCTAGGCAAAGGGGTGTCTCCCTGAACCCTGAAGCAACAGCCGGGGTATCTATGCGTATGCACCACATAGAATGAATATTTGCTCCCGGCAATGAGCACACCGGCGCCCCTCACTACTCACGGGCTCCCTGTTCGCAAATTTGCCTGCTCGCTAAAATGTGTTTGCAACTCCAAAGTCAACACTCCCGGTGCGTGAGGTCACCGGCTGATGCGCGATGCGCAGAGCAGTGAAACTCGGGGTCCAGCAGGGTCGTCCCGTGAGGCCCAACAAGGTGACCTTCTGCCTTCCTGTTTCCACTCTGACTGTAAGCGCGTGTCTTTTCACGGCCTGTGTAGCATCTCCTTTCTGGCATTTTGTGCTTTTCGGTGGTGATTTTGCTATGTGAGTGGTCCCCAAGCTCGGGGGGCAAGGGCTGGCTCATGTCCCAAGGGCAAGGAGGCTGTGGTGTTTCTTAGAGAGAAAGCAGGTGCTAGACCAGCTTCCTCGGGAGTGAGCTGTGGTTGCAGACGGCTGTGAGCACAATGCTAGTGAGTCAACAATATAAAGGGTGTCCCAAAATTCACGCAAGAAGTAATTTTGATAGAAAACACAGGTTTATAATTAAAATTGTAAATTTTTCATTGATTCATAAAGTGTACAGTTTAGGGTTATGTATGGAATAGCATATAAGGTAAATGGCCTCCACGGCTTTGCTGGCACATACGCATGATCTGGGCGGCCAATTCTCATCACCAAAACGGGAAATTAAACGACCAGGAAATGACTCATGCAGTAATTGAGTTGTTTTTCGGGCTGTATGGCATGTGGCACCGTCTTGTTGACACCACATGGATTATCATGTCTCGATAGCGAGCACCATAAACTGTTATTGCCTGAGCAGCCGCATTTTCAAAGAAGAATGATCCGATGATGACACCAGCCCAAAATCCACACCAAACAGTGACACGTTGTGGATGCATTTGTTTCTCAACAATCACTCATGGATTTTCTGAACCCCAAATGTGACAATTTTGTCGATTAACCAAGCCATCAAGATGAAAATGAGCCTCATCAAAATTCAGCCACATTTATGCAAAATGGTGATGGAAAATTTCAACAAAAGAGTAAGTATGTGCCAGCAAAGCCATGGAGGCCATTTACCCGATATGCTATTCCATACATAACTCTATACTGTATACTGTATGAATCAATAACAAATTTACAATTTTTAATTGTAAACCTGTGTTTTCTATCAAAATTACTTCTTGCGTGAATTTTGGGACACCCTTTACATTAAATTACTGCGAACAGAAGCACACGCCAAGCAGCGTCACGTATTGATCAGTGGATGGAATTGGTCAAGACGCTCTTGGGAACCTGGCCCATGTTTCCCCCATCCCAGTGGTTCAGTATTTACTAATTCAGTGCCGATGACTTCCTAGGACATAACCACCTTGAAAAATGAGAGCCAGTTACATATATTCAAGGTACAGTGAGTGTGCAGTGAGTGTGCAGTGGGCGTGCAGTGGGTGTGCAGTGGGTGTGTAGTGAGTGTGCAGTGACTATGCAGTGGGTGTGCAATGGGTATGCAGTTAATGTGTAGTGAGTGTGCAGTGGGTGTGCAGTGACTATGCAGTGGCTGTGCAGTGGCTGTGCAGTGGGAGTGCAGTGGGTGTAATGAGCAAGTGCACAGCCTGAAGGACCCACCCGCACCTGGACGCAGTCACGCTGCCCTGACCCTGTGTGGAAAGGGCTTGGATATACGGACACAGGGTGGCCCTGCTTAGTGTCTGGACAAGAGGACAGGCAGACTCCTCTGCCCAGGCACTCCTGGAAGGTGTTCCATCGAGTGGGGCCAGTAGGCACCGGCAGCTCACATACATTACTTTTCATTCCCACCACCACCGGCGAGGGGTGTAAGCATGACCCACGCTTTACAAACAGGACTCCTGGAAACCTGAGAGCTAAGAGACGCGCCCGACACCACACACCTGGGACACAGCCCACACGTGCACTGTGGTGTCCACTGTGCCAGGCCGGTCCCCTCTCCTGTGATTGCTTCTCAAACACCTTCATCACCTGAACCAGCCAGCAAGGGCCTGCGTGAACCTCAGGAGCCAGGAGACCAGGGAGTGT